CTGCAGAACACCAAGTAGTAATTGTGAGGTTATGGAAATGTCACTGAGAGCATTTTGCAGGAAAATCAGGTCTCCCTTAAATGAGAGAATACTTCATTCATAGACCCATGCTATGACGGAGTTAGTGTATTCTGAGTTTCTTCCAGGAACAGTCTGACCTTCAATTTGGATGCCCTGAGGGATCCAGGAAACAAATGAACAGTTTTAGCACTATTTTATAGAACTCTCTGTGACTATCCGTATGCAAAACCATGTTTAAAAGTTATGTTTCTAGAAAATAAAGGCAAAAACATTGCTATTGACCAGAGGAGGGGTCTCTAGTTTCTAATTTTAAATGACCCTTGCTACAGCCCAAAAAACTTCTCTCTTTTTTTTTTTAATGTTTTTGCTTTTTTGTAAAGAAGTGCTTTATCTTATATGGGCTTTCTATATTCATTACTATGCAGCAATTTCTTAGTTGATTTATTTAGGAGTTAAATATTCAGCTGTATATTATCCAGGACTGGCTTTGGCTTGGTTTCTCCCTTCTGCTTATTGTCCTGCCATTTGGTTGCTTATACTGGGCCAGGGAGAGACATGAGAGTTGTGCCCAAAATGGTCAAAATAATTTTGAAGAAGGATGAGATGGAGGAGCCTGCTTTGCTGAATGTCAAGACCTTTTATAAAACTAGAGTATTTAAGACAGTGTGGTTTTCATCCAGAGACAGACAAATATATCAACAAAACATGGCAGAGAGTCTAATACTTGATAGATTGACAGAAGTGGCCCTGAAGGGTCCATGAGGAAGAGCTGAACTAGTCAGTAAATGGAACTGGTTTTCCAAATGGAAGGAAATGGATCCCTACCCCATATCAAACACAAAAATTAATCCCAGATAGATTGGGGAACTAAGTGTGAAATTAAAACTTGGAACTTATAGATGAAAATACTGAAGGATACGTTTATGATCTTGAGGTAGGGAAGTATTTCTTAGACAAGATCCAGACAAACCAAGAGTAAAAGACTGATGAAATTTAACTATATTAAAATCCAAAACATCTGTGCACCAAAATGCACCCTAGGCAAGGTACAGACAAACCAGACTGAGGGAAAATATTTGCACAAAACTGGAAAAGGATTAGCATATAAAGCACTCATATAAGGTAATGAGAAAGAAAGCCTACCAACAGAAAAATGATCAAAAGATACAAACAGATATTCAAAGAAGTTGAAAACAGAATGGCTAATAACCATGCCTAAGCTCACTAGTAACCAGTAATGCAAACTAAAACTTCAATGAGATTGCCCCTTCACCTACCAAACTGCAAAAATTATAGTCTGATAATGATAACACCAAGCTTTGTCAAAGATACGAAGCCACAAGAACTCTTTTATATACTGATAGTGGGTGTTAAAGTTGGTACAACCAATTTGGGAATATTTTGTAGAACAATTTGGGAATATTTAGTAATGGCTAAGTAAACTGTGATATATGTGTATTGTTTATGCATGATACCACACAAATTCTTGATGTGTGTATGTCGCCACATGGATGAATCTCATGATTATAGAGAAGAAAAAGAAAATAGCAGATGAATGCATATAATATGTGTGCACATATTTGTATGTAAAATAAAGCCATAGTAAAATAATAAAGATGAGAATGATATCTAATTCAGGATAGTAGCTATCTGGAGATGGGGTGGGGAGCGGGCTTCAACTGGATGGGTCACGTTTTATTTCTTATACTGAATAGTAAGCTCAGAGGTGTCTGTTATATTATTCGTACTTTTCCTTATATCTGAAATATTTCATATTTTTAAAAGATTGAATTTGTTTTTCTACATGGTAACAGCTCGAGTCACAAAAGTTTTGGGGTTTGGGGACATCATACTGAAGACTGTATTCATTCTGATTGGCCAACTGTTTTTAGGTCTTTGGGAAAATTAATACACAGGCAGCCAAAATCCTTTGTCTTTATGAGCTGTGGAAAACATCAAGACCATCTGAATGTTTGGTTCAATCTGAGGAATTGAGAATGTGATTCTGGAATCTGAGAATGTGGTTGTCTTTTGGAGGAAGGAAATATTATTAGATGAAAATATGGCAAGATTTTTTATATAACAAAATATTCATTATTTCTTAGCTGAATTATATAACACCAAAAAAGGAGTAAACATTTTCCTGTTATTCTATTCAGTATATAATCCAAATTCTGTAAAGGCAAGGATCCTAGCCCTTCTGCCCAGCAATCCTCGGACTTTCTGAATCTGCACTGGGGCCCTGGCTTGGCTTAGGCAATGTGCTGCTCATTCCCTGGGTTTGAGCTAGCGTTGCTTTAATCCACAGAGAGTTTGTTGTGACCTTGGAAATTTAGGAACCTTGAGAAAGTTCTGTGTTGCTTTGAGGGGAAGAAGATGGAGAGGGACACTCATGACAATTGATGTAACCTCTTCTAGCACTCTTCCCCATTTGGCTCACAGCTGCTGGGACTGTGGGTACTCACCACCCAAAGCCCGGCAGAAGAGGCTCAGATGCGGACAGCGTGCGAGAAGCAAGCATGCTCTCCATGTTAGTCGGGGAGAGGCCTCTCTCCAGGGCTAAAACATCTTGCCAGACAGACTTCATTTTCTCCTACCTGGCCAGGAATACCTTCACTCGGTGTAAAAGATCAGGTCTAATTTTAAACCCACCCAAACTTCCCTGATTACATATTTATGAGTGCCTCAGATGCAGCTCATTTTGAGACGAGCTGATATTGACGTGCAATGGTGTTAATTCATTCACTGAAGCATTAGAATTTTACTGACATTATAATGATTATTTGAGAAAATCTGAGGTCTCAGGACACTCTTCCTTAAGAGGTGGCCTCCAAAATCTGAAACTCAGGAGGAATTTCCATCATGCTCCTTTGGTTATTGAAGTTTCTTCTCCCTGGCCCCTCATCCTCTAGGGAAGGAGATATTATACTATTAGCTGAATATTCACAATTCCTGGGAAAAAGGACATGACACCTGACAGGACTTACACAGATTCTCACCGGTTCTGCTAACCACATCTATCCCAGACCTTGTTGCTCATTTTCACTGGGAGTGTTACGATAGTAGAGAGAGTGGAGTTAGGAGAGAGGGTCGTGGTTGGGTAAAGCAGCCCTTTTCAATAATCAAGCCCAGAGAGAGGTGAGCCCATCCCCATCCTACCCCCTATGCCCCAGCAGTCAAGACTCTTCTCTTTCTGGTGTTATTAGGGTTTTTTTTTAAGGCTACTTATACTCATTAAGGGACTTTGCCCAAAACTCTAGCTGAAGAGGGAAGAGATGTAAAGGGATGTCAACTAGGAGAGGGAAACAGACCCTCGGCCCCAATCCCTTTTGTGATGACAGTGCCCAGGGAGGCCATACCAGGCACCGAGACAGGAAAAAGTGGTTCATCCAGTAATTGAACTGGTCTGCAAATGCTACGTTTGTTTTGTTTTGTTTTGTTTTACGGTACGCGGGCTTCTCACCGTTGTGGTCTCTCCCGTTGCGGAGCACAGGCCCCGGACACGCAGGCTCAGCGGCCATGGCTCACGGGCCCAGCCGCTCCGCGGCATGTGGGATCCTCCCGGACCGGAACACGAACCCGTGTCCCCTGCATCGGCAGGCAGACTCTCAACCACTGTGCCACCAGGGAAGGCCCAAATGCTATGTTTTTTAAAAAGTGTAATAATCCATTACTGACTTTTACTAGGAAACGTCTTACATAGCTATATATTTATCTAAGAAACATAAATTGAATTTTTCAGTGTTCTGTGGCTCTTAGCTAAATTTGTTTAAGCATTTTTGCGTGAGGTAGGTTTTGTTAAAAACAGGTATTAGAGAGAAAGTCAATAAATGTTAATTGAACCTACTGGCAGCCAGGCATTGTAAACATCTCACTGAACTAAGTAAAGAACTCCTCAGACCTCGATAGGAGAACATTCTCCATCATAAATAAAGGTATTCCGTACTCTCCAGATTCTTCCAAGGAGGCCAGTGCACTCTGGTCTGAAATCAGCCTCCAAACGGTGTTTCTCGTTTTCCTTTTGAGTGGATAAAAAACAAATTTTGAGGATCCAGATGAAGTTTAGGAAGCCATTATATTGCTTGTATTCTCTTTGATTTTACCTGCAGGGGTTGGGAGAAGTCACTTGTGTTTTCATTATACCTTAGATACCAAACAAGGAGCTTTCCTCTCTCTCCCTGCAGGAAGACAAAAGGGAACTCGAGCTTTCACAGCAGCCTGCAAGCTGTCCCCAAAGGGGCCATGTTTGTCTTGCTCACCTTTGTGTCCCAGGGCCTTGCACAGTCCCTAGCACCTAAGATGAAATATTTGCTAAATGAATGAATAAGTAAGTAAAGCAAAAGGTCAACTGATGAAATTCTTATATGACAACCTTAGGACATGGCTGGACCACAGGGCTACTGAAACCTCTGGTAGGGAAGCTCCATTGTGGGTGCAGTGTTACAGACCTCCACCGTCATAATCTGGGCACGTTTAATAGCAGAAAGAAAGAGTGCTGTCCCCCAGGTGCTGCTTTCTCTTAGGTGTCATTCATAAAGCCAGGGGAGTTAAGACACAGTCTTAAGCATTTGATGAGAACCTTAAAAATTATATTTGACACGACTTTGAGTTTTGAAAGTTAGGTTTCTAAGGAGCCCAGGAGCCAAGGAATCTGGGATAGGAGGCACCGGCTTGCTGTCCTCCTGGCTGCAGCCCACCTCTGTGCCCCAGACCTCGCACCCTTCACTGTGTGGACGTATGTGTGGACATAGCTCGCACCCTTCCCTGTGTGGACTGAGCCCTGTGTGGGCTCAGTGGCAGCTGCGGTTTGGAGGTTAGCTGACTCAGTCTACTCTGGCTTTAGAAAACCACAACAGTTTTAGAAAACCTGAACTCACAAGGAAGCATATTTTCTGATTTTGGGGGGGATCTCTGAAAATCTACAGTTGGTACTCAGGGCCATTTCTAGTGATGGCAACGCCCCTGCAGAAGTGGGTTGG